GATGAACAGTCAGCACCTAAATCACAGGTACATTGGTCATAAAAACTGCAGTGTATATAAAGTGAAAAAGAGACCAGAATTGAAGATTTAGTGAGGAGGAACAGTGGTCACAAGCTGTTGCTCTTCATGGATAGACCGGTTAGTTCTGAAATATTTGGACATTCACATTTGTTATGGCTCTGCATTCCAGCCAAAGGAAAGTAAAGAATTTCCTGTCATAAAAACGGATTTATTTTAAATCCAGAAAAACAGGGATTGTTGCCTTGTTGTTGTCCTTATGCACCGTTTAAAAGTCTATGTACAAAAATAGGGCTCTCATTCCCACAGAGGAGGAGAACAGAGTGGAAAATAAGCACTCTCAAACAGCCTTTAAGCCAAAAGTCAGCACTTTAATCTCCGTTATTGCTTCATTTCGACTCCATTTGCTGGAGTGCAAAGCCAAAACAGCAGGAACAAAAAAAGTGCCACTGTCCCAATACTTAGCAGCTGCACCGTACAGAACTACAACCCCAGTAATAATCGTGGAATTGAATCAGCCTCTCTGTCTCAAAAAACTAAATTGCACATGTGGAGCCGCACAGAGCTGGTGTTTGGCATCGCTTCTATTTAGAAACCACTTGTAACCAAGGCCAGCATGCAAACACGCACCGTCGCACTGAGAATATCAGCTGAAGCATGAAACAATGGAGAAGAGAAACATAATCTGATGGATCATCCTTTTACAGTTTCAAACACCCAGGTTCTAGTTTGGGTGGAAGTTACAGCATGCCTTCAACCTGCAGTGTCTTATGGTTAAACGTATGGTGGTGAATATGTAATGACATACACACTCAACATGTATTTATTATGAGGCGAGGCGTTTTATGGCACAAAAGATGATACGCACAACTGAACATAACTAAGTGGTGTAAAAACCTGCCCTTTTGTAAGCATATGATCTCAACATCCCTACACCACCGTTTCATTTTTAATGGACATATTTATTGTGCATCAAAGATAATTTATGCCTGTGCGTCGAGCCGAAGAGAATTGGAGCTTTCAATGCAAGTGATGTTTATACTGATTACCTGTTTTACATTATGTTGTGTAAGCAATAATTAAGCCACCAAAACGGTGTAGGTGATTATATACACTGCAGACGAGGGCTGCACAATTAATGGAAATGTGATCGAAATCATTATTTGGGCTAGAACAATATACAAATAGCAGGGAGCTTAACATTTGTTTCAGGCAAACTATGTAAATATTATTCTAAATTAAGTATTTTGGAGCTTCATAGATGTCGTAGCCTACAAATCGTATTCTACAGACTTAATTCCATATATTTATTTACAAAAATCACACCATGATGATTTTAATATATTTTCCAATGTTAATGAGAATAATAATAATAATAATACAAAAAAGATTAAAATACAAAATTATTAATCATATCGCTATTTCAATATCAGTAAAAATAAACAAATGAAGCTCTTTCTTCCAGATTGTGCAGCCCTACTTCATACATTCTTTGTTTTGTGACCTAACAACATCACTGTTGAAATCCAACACTTGTCAAGTCATCACATTAGGAGGTGGGATGGGATCTATTCTGGTTCTCCTGTAAGAGAAAGGTCAGAAAGAGTGAGAGAAAAGACACTCCAATCAAAGCTATTATTCCCCACGAGTAAATAGGGTGGGCGGAACAATAACATAAAGAAAAGAAATTGAGAAATTCATCCAAAGCTGGAAGAATAATGAAAGCCAAGAACACTTATTAAGACAGCGATGCACTAGAAAGGCCAAAGAAAGCACACTCTTTTGTACTCTTTCACACACAGGGAAGCAATCTTCAGGAACACGGAGAATGTCAGAGCTTCATCCTGGCCCTCCTGACAGTGCACAGCCACTAGCCTGATGAGATGGCAGAGAGTCAGTGAGCTCTGAAGGCCATTAGATATTTTAGGTGATGGCCTGCTCTCCCTGTCCCCCTGACGTTGTGCTTTCCTCCACTGTAGCGAGGCTCAGGCAGAGGACATGAATGCCATTAGGCGTCAGAGTTAGCCAGGCAGGCGGACACAGGCTGATAAGCGTCTGCTCGCTTTTTAAGCTCCATTGGGCTGCAGAGGAAATTAGGATTTTGAGTTTTTATCCGTCTTTTTCTCTTTCCTCTCTCCGGCTTCCTCTGGCTCATTCAGTCTGTTTTTCAGTTTCTCCTTCGCTCACGTTCTCTTCTTCACAGCCACTGTTTCACACAAGGTCAGGTGTGGAGTCTCTCCTGCCTCACACCTCCCGGCTGTTCTCCCCTCACCTCTCCTCGCTCTGTTTCTCTCCACCTGTACCAACCCCACCCCCCCACCCCGTCGTCTCCATTTTTAGGTTCTCTGTTTCACCTACTTCCTCTCTCACTTCTCTTATTTCTCTCTCTTCCGAATGTCTCTCTTTTGTCCCTCAGCTGTCTCCTATTAACCTTGTTTATCGCTCACACCGTCTCCCCATCGAGATCCTCCTCCTCTCTCCTCTTCTCTCACCACTCTGTCTTTACACTCCCCCTTTCATTCTCTATTCCTGGCACCACGCTCTCTTCACACACTTTCATCCCCACTTTCCCAGTCACTTCCCCAGCCCCCCCCCCCTCCTCTCATCCTCCATCACTTTGGCATTCCCAGACTGTCTCTGCTCTTTCATCCTTCCATCCTTCGCGCACACTTCCTCTCTCCTCCTTCCTTCCGTATTCATTTTCCTCTCCACAGACGAATGGTGGGAAATATGGAAATGTCAGCGTGACCGGGCGGGGGATCAGAGAGGACGGCGTTAATATGCCATCAGCATGTGTGTGTGCACATCATGTGGGTGTTAAAGACATAATGATAGGTGACAGTACTCGGGACGGTGGCATCTGACTACTCGAGGACGCTGAAGAGGACGGTTTGCGTGGGCCTGCGTTTGTTTGGTAGCGTTATTCCAATGGCACCTGCAGGCAGCACTGCTACTGTAAAGTAGAGCAGCGGTGACACAAGGCTTCTGTTCTCCCTCTCCTCCCCACTTTCTCTCCCCCCTGTCGCTCCTCCCCGCCTCACAGTCTTACCCTTGAACCGTCTTTTATTCTCTCATTCCCTTAGTTCCTGTCTCCCTCCACCTCCTGTCTCTCTCTCTTCTGTTTTAAAAGACCGATGCTCTCTCAATATTTATACTGACAATTACTATTTCAAATGCCGCCTTGCCTCAGCATTTAGGAAAGGCTGTCGTGTTCAAGCACATGCACGCACACGCACGCACACGCACGCACGCACGCACACGCCGACTTTTCCTTTCTGTGTCTGCTCTTCTAATGACACGGATTCTCTGAGACTTCAGGGCTGGGATTTAGGGACCATCGTGGAGGACGAAGACGTGTGTGAAGACGTGCTTGTGTGTAATATTCATTTCCCCGGGGCAGTCTAAAGTCTCATAAGGCCAGCCTGTCTCTCATCTGAGCTCTGCAGGATCTGACCCGGGTTGGCTCTCCTCTTATTGCTTCAGAATGACAGACAACAGGCTCTGCCCCCGCATCACAAGCTGTGCACGCGCTCCTGTGTTAATTTAAATGTGCTCACAAGGAAGGAACCTGAGGCGGAGCAACTTATCTTCAGTGGCACATAGTGTAATGCACTTTGACATTAGACCATACTCTCCAAACAGGATTAGTAATCAAGGGTTTCAATAACCCTTGATTTTGTTCCCATTCCCCAAGCTAATCTGTTTGAATAGTTAAGATAAATTGACAGAGGCGTGTTGCTCCGTCTTTACTAAACACTCCAGGCGTTGGAAAGATCACAGGTCAAGAGATCGGTAATAAAACTGTCATGAGCTTTTGTGTGTGTTCTTGCACAGATATGTATGTGAGCAATAGAGAATAAAAAAAGCAATGTGTTCCTCTCCCCAGCCCGATGAGGCTCTCTGCGCTCCCACGGGCTGCTTCGTGGTTGTCCAGAGGTTCCTCTGTGGCTACAAGGGGGTTGTTTTGTGGTTGTAAATTGGGCTGGTCCTGTGAGAGCTGGTGTTATTCTAGGAAGGGCTTGTTTTCCTCCTCTTTCCCACTCAAGTCTTTCTGCTCCTTCCTCTCTCTTCTCTTCCTCCGTATTGATATCTCAGATCTCCCTTGAGTAGAGAAGCTGAGGTGTTTATTGCTCGTCAAAAGAGAAAGACAGCACTGGCCTTTCCCTCTTATCTACTAGCCCATGGGTTTCATGTGTGTGGGTGTTTTGTATCAGCCCTGCAGATCATATTAGTTTCAACACAACAGCTTTGGCTCAGCACAAACGGGTGGAACCAGTTCGGCGAGTAATTGTTTGTCTATAGGGTAAATGGTGTTTCTCTGGTGCCGTTGTATGTGTGTATCCTGCTGGTGAACACACACAGAGCCCTGGCTGCAGACATTTGAAGTTGTGTATCAGCAGGTAATCCACTGTTACTTAAAACAGGTGCCATCTCACATACACTAATGCGTGCTTACTCATACATGTAATTACATTTTCAGAGGGACCTGGATTACACACACACATATATGCACACACGCGTGGCAGTTTGTCCTTTTAAAAGCTCCCTGGTTCTTTCAGTTTCTCACACACCCACCGACACAAGGCACTAAGAAAAGCATATTTATTTTCACTCTTTGCTGTAACACAGGAATGTGTCGGCACAGCAAATGGCAGGCTATAGAACAGCATGAACCATCCCCATGATTTATGACCTATGTGCAAAAGAGAACTGGCTTTTCTTCTCTCTTTTATTCCATCTACTTATTTCGTTTTTGTTTCGCTTACTCCTTTCACATGAAAAGTCATGGAGAGATATCAGACTCTTGGCCTACTTGCCTAGGTTTACTAAAGCTGTCCTCTGTTGTAGCAGACACTTCCACACTGTCCTCATTTATCATCAGCAGGCTTTGTTCTAACACCATTCCTCTGCTCCCTTTCCTCGCCTCCTATCCTAGTTAAGGACAGGACAGACATTAATGTTTCCCTCTCTTCCTCTCCTAGGAGTGTCGGGTCAGCGGGTGAAGGTGGAGCCCGAGGTGTTGTCTTACCCCGGCCAGACAGTCAACCTGCGCTGTGCCTTCACTGATGCCACTGGGATTCAGCTCACAATGGTAAGATAGAAACTGTCATGATGCAATTTGTCTTTCTTTTTCAGCTGGGATTTGATTTCTTCTTTTTACAACCGCACTCACATAAGCTCTAAAATGGGTTTGGGGTATCGTATCGTATCAAATCAAATGTCTGATTCATTCAAATTGCAGCTCAATGTGCTGACTTGACTCAGTACAATGTGATGAAATAGCTTGGGACTACAATTTGCTGTCACAATTTCAGCTTACACAGCGGCCATTAAGCAAATGCACAATGTGGTATTTGAAAGATAAAGTATTTGTGTGTATCAATCTCATCCTGCAGGTGTGGGAATCTAAGTCGCACAGATGGAAAACATCAATTCATTGCAATGAGAATAAACATTAAACGATAATACAGGTCCATGTGCCTTGTTTACCTATCCCATCATCCCGTAATCTAGCAAATCAAAGCCCACAGAATGAATCCCAAGGCTAGTAATAGGTTTTTATCCCATTTAGGCTTAATACTTTATTATGCCGTACAAACAATACTAAGCTTAATTTTGCTTCAGGGGATTGAATATGCTAATGAAACACTTCTTAGTCGCATCTCAATGAAGTGGGAAGTACACAACTGTGTTTGGTTCCGCTAAGAGTGGCTCAGAGAGAGTGCGGCTCCTGAAAGTCACATCCATATTCATACCTGCTCCACTTATTTGATTGGGATGCTGCGAACGCTGCCCTGTGGAGTTCACAGAGAAATGTCTTAAAATGCTCTCCAGTGTGTGTGTTATCAATGGCGTGTTAAATGAGGCCTGATGTTTTTCACTGTACGCATCCTAACCACTGAGCCCCGTTAACGCAGGTCACCTGGATCTACGAGCCGAAGGATGGAGAGAGGATCAACATCGCCGTGTTTCTACCCAACTATGATCCCAACTACCCCGACTCGCCCGTGAAGGGCAGAGTCAGCTTCGCGCCCAGCCCCCCCAACGTGGTCAGCCCCTCCATCGAGATCAGCAACGTGGGGATGACCGATGAGGGGAAGTACATCTGCGAGTATGCCACCTACCCCAGCGGCAACGAGCAAGGCATCACGCACCTCGTCATGCTGGGTGAGCCATGATCTACATAATGTGTATATAACAATAATAGGGCAAGGCGATCAGAATTCCTTTATTTGTCCCGCTACAGGGACATTTATGGCATTACAACAGCAAATTACAGGGTAGATTGATTGGTTACTATATGGCACACAATAGGTAAAAGCAAATACAGGTGAGAAAACCAGGGTAAACATAATTCAAATATAAGTAGCCGTATTTCTTACAAAAAACTGCCCATGAAAAAATATTGAAGTATGTTTACATATTGTAAATAACAATAAAGCGTACATTGCATGTGACTTTATATTGCACTGAGCTGATATTGCACATCAGAGATGTTAAAGTCTTTGTGAGACAAAGTCCAGGATCTACTGTATCTCTATCCTTGAAGATCTCCATAAAATATTGCATGAAAATTACAAATAATACCTATAAGGATTTTGAAAGCTGTGGGAACCTTTCATAAATGTTCTGGTGGAACTTATTTGAATTGTTTGGCCCCACAGGTCGTCCCTGATCCCTACAAAGCGGCTCTTTCTGACACACTGTTCTTTTTTATATTTAGCACCACAGTGGCTCATAATTGTACGGTTCTGTCTGTCAAGGCTAGCACCTTTCAATTTTTTGAATAGTCTTCAAATTATACAACAGAAATACAAGATATAGATGGATAGAAATATATTGTTTTTTAACATCACAGACGGTCTTTGAAAAATGATCAAATAGACAGTGATACACCGAATGGTATTTTTGCATATAATGCCCATCCTGTATGTTTATCAACGCGTTCTCTTCGGTTCAAACCATCACAGGACTTTAAACACAAAGTCTGATAAATCTTCAATTTAACATTTCTGTTTTATTACATTAAGCCTAAATTGTTTTTTTAGGGTAAACACACATGACCTTGACTAACTGCTCTGATTTGTAGTTTGCCAAAAAGTTCTTTACCATGAACTTGATTAATTAGTCGAAGCAATTTTTAACAGGACGATCTCTCAACCCTCTTACTACATTTATATCGACATAAAAAAAATCCTAGTTCTGTGTTTCATGGTTATTTGTTTTAAGTGGAGTTTTAGAGACTTGTTGAATCAAAATGCATAGATTTGTCCTTGAATCTGTTACCAATCTGTATGTACCAGGTGTTTGCATGTTAACCTTGCTTACTACATTATATAAATGCAAAGTACTCTCTGCTTACCACTCTCTGTCAGTCTCTCTAACTCTCGCCATCCCCCAAAGGTACCATGCAGGTTAAAAGCATGTCCAGCTAGGCTTGATTGCTATTATAAGTGGTATTGTCAGATCAATTGTGTTCTTGTTAATGCAATGGAACCATTGGTCTAACCTTGGCCCAGCACCAGTGCCTCCGCTCTCTCTCTCTCTCTACAGGCATCATGCCTCCCTGCTTCCCCAGAGGCTCCTTATTGATCTGGCTGCTTGTCATGCCGGCTGTCAGCTCCTGTCCTGCTCTCTCCTCTCTCCTCTCTCCTCACTCCTATCATGGAGGGGAAGTGAGGAAGGATGAGCAAGGGGGGTAGAGTAGAGGGGGGGTTGAGGGGATGACTGAGATCATGTAGTGATTTAGAATTTGTGTATGGAAATGTGCCTGACCAGTCAGAGAAATTGTTTATCAATGGCGGGTGATGGGGATGGAGAGGGAATGGATTAAAGAAACAGGGGGGAGAGTGAAAGAAGATTTAGGGTGTTTGCTCTGCTGCTCCTAAGTGTTTATCAATGTAGCCACAGAGAGGGAGAGAGGGTGAGTGGAGGATGTTTGGAGATTGAGGTTTTGGATTTGCTTTTGCCAGGCTGGTGACTCAAATTGTTTATCGATAATGGTGCACATTATCTTTTCCCTCAGCTGTCTTATTTCCATTTGATCTATTTCTACATCCTTTAATCTTCTCTCTGCCACTCTGTGTCTCTTCCTCCCTCCCTCCCTCCCTCCATCCATCAGCTAAGCCTCAGAACTCGGCCTCCATCGTGACCGTGGTGGCGGGCAGTAAGTCGGTCGTTGTGGCGCGCTGCGAGTCCGTGGACGGCCGCCCCCCTGCCAAGATCTCCTGGGTGACCGCAGCCAATGGCAACGGCACAACGGTTACCAAACCGGGCGCCGACAACACGGTGACGGTGATCAGCGAGTACAGCATGGTCCCCTCCCCCAAAGACAACGGGAAGGACCTGAGCTGCGTGGTGGCTCACAGGACGCAGGTCAAACCAGAGAGCTTCCACCTGAAGCTGGCAGTGGAATGTAAGACACACACACACACACACACACACACACACACACACACACACACACACACACACACACACACACACACACACACACACAGTTTTATTGTGTTGCACTTTTGGAGGAGCCTGTGACCTAAGATTTTCATTGTCATAACTATACTGTAGCTATGCACAAATGACAATAAAAGCCTTGAATCCTTCCAGACACACACAGACACACACACACACACACACACACACACACACTCACAGTTTTATTGTGTTGCACTTTTGGAGGAGCCTGTGACCTAAGATTTTCATTGTCATAACTATACTGTAGCTATGCACAAATGACAATAAAAGCCTTGAATCCTTACACACACACACACACACACACACACACACACACACACACACACACACACACACACACACACACACACACACACACACTTATTATTCCATGAATTGCTTTGCAGTCCAGCATGTTCCTTTGTAATTTCTATTTTATTACATTAGCTTAATTTTGATTTGTACAAAGGAATCTTACATGACCTTGACTAACTGTTCTGATTTATCGCTTGCCAAAGAGTTTTTCCCTAGACTTTTATACCACGAATGGATTCATTAGTCAAAGAAATAATAACAAGACCTTTGCTAATCGCTTACCCTCTTACTACATTTCCATCTACATTTATCAACAAACAAAAAAAACAGTCCTGGTCAAAATCCCTGTTTTGTGTTTCATGGTTCTGTCTCTCTAGTATAGCTGAAGAGACTTGTTGAATCACAGAGTATTTAAGCTGTTTTATGATAATAATCTTTCCCTGAATCTGTAACCACACACTTCATCAATTCCTTTGCAGCATGAGTGATTAATTGAGCACGTTTTTTTTCTCTTCCCTCCTGCCATTCATCTGTCGTTCCCCCAGTTGCCCCTCAGGTGACAATAGTAGGTTACGACAATAATTGGTACGTGGGTCGTACAAATGTGGAGCTCACCTGCCAGGCCACGGGAAACCCCACGCCGCTGACCGCCCAGTGGAAGACGTGAGTATCCACACAATCGTCATTTGCATTTTCTTGTCTTTCTTGCGTTTTTGGTTGCTCTTTTCCCCTCGCGTTCCCTTCCTCGCCCTCCACCGTCAGGTCCACACAGCCGTAATCAGCCCTTTTTTATTATTGCCACCACCGCCTTTTGCTCTGATTATGGAGATAGACGTGTAATTTCTCATAATGGACTCTGCGACTCGAGATTTGACCCTCGCATAATGAGAAACACAATATGACTCCCTCTCTCCCTTATTTCCGTATTATCAGCTATCAACATGAGACAACATTTGAAGAAGAAAAAAAAAAACTGGAAAGTCTGGTGCTGAAAAATGGCAGAGATGAGATTTTGGGCTGGGGTCCAGCAGTTTTTATTTTCCTCATGTCCCCATCGTATTTTCCTCCACTGTGTGATAATAGATTGCCGTTTGAGGAAGGGGGAAACTGATTGGTTTTGCACTGCTGATCAAGATTACCCGAATGTGATGACTGTGCACAATACAACACATTTCTGTAAATGCACATCGCTCTCAATGCGTTATAAAGTCAAACAAACCACAATTCCTTTTCTTACTGTAGTGAGAGTTGCCAAAGAAATGTCGTTGTGTACCTTGTATGATGACAAGAAAGATATATTCAATTCTATTCTATTCTCGTGCCCCCTGCAGGATGACGGGAGAGATGCCCGACACGGTGCAGATCACAGACAACAAGCTGAAGGTGCTGAAGGTGGACGACGCCGTCAACACCACTTTTGTCTGCGAGGTCAAGAACCGCATCGGGCTGGGCAGGGATCAGGTCGCCGTCATGGTCAGAGGTGAGTTCAAGGACACAGACTCAAACACATGTACAAAGTCTAATTACATTACACACACAGTCCTCATTTAACACGTATACTTCAACCTGCTTGGAGAACAAACTGTAACACAAGAAACACGTAATAAAAGTGTTCCTTGTGTGCACTTCTCTTTTATGAATTTGCATTAGACTCCTGTCATCACAAATCCACCCATTTGCTGCTCCTAAGTAGGTTAAAGCTGAGACAAAGTGTATTTCGCACACGTTGCATTAATGTCCCAACACACAGATGAATTGGACTCAATAAACTCGTCAGTAAAGCAGTGAACATTTCAGGAATGAAATGAAAAACACATTTGTGGCTCACTTGGGCCTCGCTCGTCATCTAAAGCATCCCCCGGCTTGTATATAAAAACATTTATATCATCTGAACTGATGAACTAGAACCGAGCTCACTTTCATCACACATGCTACACGTCTCCTGGTGTGCTGTGCTCTCATGTTTTCCCCAAGGACACACACCTTGTTCTGCCTCACATGAACACACACGCTGAGTCTGGGGTGTGTAGTGTAGGGCTAGAGGGTCCAGATGCTCTGTCCGTGTGTGTGTGTGTGTGTGATTGTTATGAGCGTGAATATGTATCTGCATGCCTTTTCGTGCTTTTGGGTTCTCCCTCTCAACTTTCCCTCTCTCTTTATCTCTGCTCCCTCCCTATTAAGAATGCGTGTCACTTTTCTACATCTCTTTGCACACACTCGATAACACTGTATTATCAAAGTTTCTCTGCCTCAGCGGTACCCAAGGTCGGCCGATCCGCTTTGTACATCAGATGGCATTTACTGAGCTGCTTTTTCCACAAGGTTTCTTTAGCCGTAGTTCACACAGAAGAGATGGTACTTTTTATTCTAGTTTTCTAAAAATGAGAGAGCAGTTTCCCCCCCCCCCCCACCTTCTAAAGTCACGATCACAAAGGCAACCGAGTGGCTTCTCAGCAGTACTCTTGGCCATCGCTGATGAAAGGAAAGACCAAAGCAAAGCAAATGAGCAGCGTTCATTCAGATTCAGAGACTTGAAGAAAAGGCTGCAATTAGTAAAAGTGATGAATATAACTCAATGTGACACTGTTGACTTTGAAATATATCTGTATTTCATTGCTGCTTTGGGTCTAGCTGAGACTTGTGCTGTCTTGTCGTCTGTGTGACTGTGTGTGGGTGTGTGTGTGTGTATATTTGTAATGCATTCAGGTGTGCTGTGTAGCTTGCTGTACCACCTCAGGTCTCTGAGTGAAACCATCCATAACGGGGCCAGTCATGATGAAAAACAGTCGATTCCTGCAGCCCCTTCTGTTCCTCAATCGTCTTTAGCAGCACCCCTCAACAGAGCTCACTCCCGACTTTCCCCTCATACAAAATACATCCCACTCCACTCTTGGGCCTGCACTTAACCAGAAGTTATTTTTTGCTGACATGGAGGTAAACCCTGCCTATAATGGGGGGGAAAAGTGTATTCCTCTGGTGCCTTTAGTTTAAGAGCACTCCTTCATGCCCTCGTTTTATCTACCGTTTTTTTTTCCTGTCCTCTTGCTCAGTCTCTCCTTATTTCCACTTTTTTATTTTATCTCTCACCCCCCCCGTCTTACTTCAAGTCCCTTGGCTCGTTACGGCGCCTCAGCATGCGTCACCACTCGTCCTCTGGGGCCATTCTGTGCCGCTGCAAAGGAGCGTAACCGGCTTCTGTTGCACAAAGGATGTCACCATCTCCCGCCGTGTATTACAAAGCAACAAGCAGGGAAGATACAACGATCCAAGGAGGAGATGGAGGCTGCCGCTTTTAGACTTTAAGAAGCCAGAGAACGTGCACCGGGATAAATCAGTGCCAGCATGCAATCCCCACACGAAGAGAGCGAGGCATGGGGGATAGAGGGAGAGAGAGCGTGTGCTGACGGCATTTAAAACTCCCTTGGGAATCTTGTGCCACTGCATCCTATCTGCACTGCTATTGGCCTCCACTATCTCTCAGCATAGCGTGCGTCTGTCTGTCTGCAAGCCTCTCAGAGCGGATCAGTCACCCTTTGCTGCTTCAGCTCCTCACTTCCTCTCCCCCTCTGCCTTCTATCCTCCATTTCAACTCCTGTTCTTCATCCCTCTCCCCTCTCATCCCCTCTCCCCTCTCATCCCCTCTCCTTCATGTTCTGGTGTCTCTGGTCTCTTCCAGTGTTCAACTTCCTACAGTTCCCTTGTCCTATCATCTCCCTCCTCCATCTCCTTCTTGTTCTCTCGTGGCCCAACTTACCTCCTCCCTGCTTCCCACTCCTCTCTTACTCACCGGCGAAGGAGGAGGATAAGACGCGAGCTGAAACTCGCTGGCAGTCGAGAGGTGACTGAGGCATTCGGCAAAGAGTGAAGGAGGGTTTGCAGAAGGCATGGAGAGGGCGAGAAGTGCTCTGAAAGAGATTGAGTTTCCATCAGAGGGAGTGCAATGTAAGAGTTGGATGATGGTGGAATCGGAGCGGGTGAAAGATGTGGAATGACTCCAGATGGGAGACCTGTGGAGCCTAATGTGAATGCGTGTAGACAAACAGGGCTAAGAGGGGCCGACAGGCGTGAAATGGCCAGCACCTGCTACATAGCTGGTGCCCCTCTCCTCTCTACCCCACAGCTGCATGACACACACACGCATATAATACTGTGTGTGTGTTTCCGTGTCCTCTGCCCTCAGTCTCGTCCTGTGCTCCCGGAGGCTCAAGAGAGGGATGGATGTCCTCTCTTCTCCTTGCCTCTCTCATCTTCGATCCCGCTGCTTACTCACACAAACCCAAGCATCCCACCCCTCCTCTTTCCTTTCGATTTATCTCTCCCTTGCTATCTCTTTCGCTGCAGTTTGCTCTTTTCATTGCATCTCTCATCCTCTCAGTTAGCATATGCTCCCTCCTCATCCTCCTTATCTCTCTCAGGTTGTCTTTCAGCCTCCGCAAGTCTGGCGTTCTGCTCTGGGCTCAGTTAAGGGACTCCTGCCCACAGCATTTTCTCTCCCTCTCTTCTGCTCGCGCCCTGCTATCTCCCTCTCTCTTTTTAAGCTTCACTCCTAAATACCAGTAGCTCTTCCTTAATCACAGCTTAGTAGTCTCCATCCTTCCATCCATCCCTTTTTTTCACAAACTCCTCTCTTGGGGGGGTTCTTGTGTGGCTAACCTAGATTTCCTACATTCCCCCTCTCCCATCCTTCCTCACAGGGGTGGCTCAGCTGAACCTCATAAAGTTCAAATGTCCCCAACTAAACCTCCCAACACATCGTCTGAGGGTCTCCTAAGGCTGTCCTCTTCATTTGGTGCATTCTCTCCGGTAATCAGACACATCTGAGGAGGCGGTTCATCAGCATGTGGCTCTGACATTTTCCATCCACTGGGTCTGGGTTTGTGTGGCTGTGTCTGTCAGTGTCTGTCAGTGTGTGTGTGTCTCCGGCCATGCGAAAGCATCCAGAGAACAGGTCTGATGGAGCCAAGTCTCCCTGCAGCCTGCTACTGGCCCCCTGCCCACCCCTCATTAGCACGCACACGCACACACACGCACACACACACACACACACACACACACACACACACACACACACACACACACACACACACACACACACACACACACACACACACACATACACACACACACACGTTCTATAAGTTAACATGCTGACAGAGATTACTACTAAGCTATGCTCTAGGTGTAGCCCACTGATGACCAAGATGGTGTGTGTCTGAGAGTGTGTGTGTCTGAGAGTGTGTGTGTCTGAGAGTGTGTGTGTCTGAGAGTGTGTGTGTGTGTCTCTGCGTGTTTTTGGGGAGGCTGCAGTAGAGTTACTTTCGCTCCATCTCTCTCATTACTTGCGGTCACTTGGAGCTCACGGTCTTGCTGGACGTGACTTCATAAGACGCATGATTCCACAGTATGTTGTGTGTGTGTGTGTTTTGGGGAAGGGTGGGGTCCTGTAGCATGTTTGTTTTTCTATTTCTTTCTCCCCTTGTTGTACACACAGCATGCATATTGCAGTTCTTTTCTGCTGGCTCATCCAACAGCATGTGTTTTTATAAGATGTCCTCTCCTCACCCGCTGAAATGTATTCCATTGGAGCTGCGTTAGTATGCATCCGATGCTGCGGTGGGCCTGCACTGGGAGCGTGGGGTCGCTCCTTTTTACATCTATCTCTTGAATCTTTAAGTGTTAGTGTCTCCAGATTAAGGTTGGAATAAAACATGAATTATCACCCACAAAAGGATTTACCAGCGTCGACTTTGAGAGAGACACTTAACAAGTGGCATGAGCGACGCATTAAAAATAATAGGATGAGAGGAATTTAGGCAGAATTTGCATTTACATTTCATTGCAATTCCCATTGATGTGACGACGATGTGTGCCAGCATCCGGGCCCCAAGTTTCGAGTGTTTCTACGTTGCATGTGCCAGAGCTCCACGGAGCCCGAGGTGATAATGCATTTCTTGTGTTCCTGTTAGACGTGGACACTGAGGGCCAGCTCTCACTCTTGTGTGTGTGAACTGCAATGTTTAGCGCTGCTCAAGGGGCAGGGGGGCACACAGGATCGGAGTGTGATGGTTTGCTCGGGGAGGCTGGTGGGAGAAATTGAAAGAAAGGACGGGAAAACATACCCACATTAAATTATAAAATGTCTTCCCTAGGCATTTGTTGAAAGTGAAGCTCGCAGAGGAGGAGGTAACATGTGACTGAAATGCAAACGCAAATTGGAGAGATGGCAGGGAAATGGATTTAGAAGAGACGGAAAGAGCGTGTGCAGGAAGACAGCTGGTGAAGTGGAGCCAGAGATGGAGAAAGGGCTAGAGAGGCAGAGGAAGAGCTCAGGTGGAGTCGTCGGTACACCAGCGTCTTCTCTCTTGACAAGAATCAGTGTTACAAGAGTAATGCTGTCAGCTCTCTGTACACTTAACAAGAGAAGTTGGCTTCTGATGGATTTCAAATGGGAATGACAATAAGAATCGGGCTGATTCGCCGCTCTCAAATGTAAGGCAGGGATTTCCACAGCAGCGCCTGCTGGTTAATCCTCTGCAGCGGCTGCTCGCAGAGTGGACTAGGAAGCGTTTGCAGCAGACTTGATGTTCAGCTTACCCAACGAGTCTTCATCAATTTCAACCAGGGATTGAAATCAAAAAATTCATTATTAAAAATGCATTATTTCATTTTATTGTCTACTAGTGCATTCAAGCAGATGCACTTAAACATGATGGATGATAAGCAGGCTTTATTACAACAGATAATATTTGTACAACATTGTGCCTTCTTCAGGGATGGAACGAGCACAATGAAAGCTATTTTTTCGTTATTACATCTGGGAGATCCACATGATCTAAACAGAATAAATAAGAACATAATATGAATAATTGACGAATCCATGTTCTCATACTGAATGCATCATGAGCTCCTTATGTGAATGCTCTGTAAGTGTGATATACTTTCAGACATCAATATTTCCTTCTACTAAAAATACTGTTATTTCGCATTTAAAGAGAGGCCTGTTGTTGCAAAAGCAGCTGCTGGCATTAAGCCTAAGCTGGGTATCTTTCATACTGAAGTGCTCCTGCCTCCTGCTTCCTGTATAAGTTGTAATTACTCGCACATGTTCCACTGTAAAATAACAATGTCACTTGGAGAACATTTCTGTGCTTCACAGTGCAGTGGTTGGAGCTGACCCTTAACTCGGGCGGTGTTGAGTGCCATACTCCCTGCCCACTCAGTTATAGATGATGACCACATGGGGGGAAACGGTCATGGGGTCTGCGGGGAGTTGTCATTCTCACAGGAAGCACTTAGAGCCCTGAACTCATGGCCCCCGAAAAGACTGTGCGGTAACACTCATAGTTTTCTGAGAGGTGTTAATCACCGGCACTAGACCCTTAACTGTACTGACTCAAATGTGTAAATTGCAACAAGTATTGAAAGCTGGCAATTGCTTTTTTTGTGGTTTGCTTTATTTAAATCAGATATTTCCTAATTCAAATAATATTTTGTACCATTTTCCTATGTTTTGTTTAGGATGCAAACATAACCTATGCATTTTAATAGGTTGATTTTGTATAAAGAGAATACATTATCTTCTAGAAAAGTAAGGAATTACTTTGAGGTATTTTTTGGTATGAGTGGTATTTACTGTAGGAGTCTTTTGCTATCTCACGATTTTGATTCTCAGTAACACAAGTTATAAAAAAATATGAAAAAGCTGCCTGTTGCATCTATGAAATTGGTCGGCTCAGACTATATTTTTATAAACGTGCATAACAAACATAAGTTGTACACAAATGAACACGGTTTCCTTGCCACAACTTTGGCTTTACAAGATAAGTGTGTATCAGAAGGTACATCAGTTATTTTATTAATAAAAAAAGTTTTAAAAAATTGATTTTTAGAAGTTGAATCCACTCTCTTACAATATTAATGGTTTGCTCCACACCTAGTGCTGTAACTTTGGTGTGTTATTGCCACAGTCAATCTAAAGAACTCAGCCTTAATGTTAAGTGGTGTCTTCCTATTCTGCAAAAGCCGCTGTATATTCTTGCAGAGGATGCAGAGGGAGTGTGAGTTCAGAGACGAAGCACTATAAGGCTGACAAGTCATATGGGACGTCTTCACAACCCCTGATTTAGACACCACCACCTCTCCCTGGGGTTCTTATACACAAACAAAAACACCGTGTACTGGATGGTGGAGCCCTACTTTCACTAACACCCTCCTCAGCCAGTCTGCACTCTAAGAAGACATTTGTTGAGTTCAAAACTAACTTTAAATGCCGTCTTTTCACGTGTATGTGTGTGTAACATGGCAGTCGTGACTAAAACAAAAGCGTGGAATACAAAAAAATGGACATGAAGTCGAGCGGTGCCTTTTTTTTTTTGCGGAGAGAGAGAGAGGTGGCAAACCTTCCCTCTGCTCATGGCTTCCAGGAAGAGTTGTCACTCCGCCATGTCACTTTGTCACTCACTCCTCCTCCTCCTCCTCCTCCTCTTCATCTAATTTCCAACCTCCTCTCCTCCATCCATCATTATCCTCCTCCGCTGCATGGCCTCCACCTGTTCTGCGCCTGCAAACACCGTGCCCTGCTCCTTCACAAAATGTGTGTGTGTGTTGCTTGCACTTCCCTCCCTTCCTCTCTCCCTTCCTCCCCCCTTTGCCTTGCCTTGTGATTTGTGGTGAGCCTTGGAAAGACCCTGGTCGATGAAGGGTGACACGGGCGGGGGGGAAACGTGGTTGTGACGTGGGAATGGGGACAGGAGCAGCTCTGAGGGAGAGGAGGAAATGTCAGTGTAGCAAGAGACTCAGCGCACACACACACACTCAGACACACTTTTGACTGTACCGACACCTCAGCACTCTTACACACTTCACTGAGTTCAGAGCAGCACCACTGACATCACCCAAACGCCTACCTTTCTCGTTTTTCCTTGACATTACCCTTTCTTCCTTCTCCTTTTTGATGCTGTATCTATTCCCCCTCTTGGCCTCTCTTACACACTGTTCTCTTTTTCTCCAATTCTCAACCATATTTCCTTTCTTCCTTTTTTTTCTCCCTCTCTCCCCCGCCTGTCCTCCCTCCTGCAGAGCCCTCAGTGAACCCATCCAATGCCGGCGTGGTGGCGGGAGCTGTGATTGGCTCCCTGCTGGCTCTCCTTTTGGTCGCCGCTCTCATCGCCGTGCTCATCACCCGTAGCCGCCGGCAACAGCAGGGTTACCGCGCCAACGGCGGCACCGACATGAAGACGCGCATGTTCGGCGGAGGCAAGAAGGCCAGCAAGAACGGCACGGGCGGAGGCAACGGGAGCGGAGTAGGAGTTGGAGGCGGGAACAACAATGGGCCGATCTACGTCTACGATCAGGGCTCCTCCCATCCGGGCCTCGGAGAGAAAAACAACCACCACCAGCCACTCACCATGGGGGGCGTCGCCACGACACCCACCGCCCAAGATATCCTGTTGAGCAACGAGCTAGATGACGGCGAGAGGAGGAAGTTTGACGAGCTGGAGGAGGACGAGAGATATGATAATTTCACCGGAGGCGCCCCCATCCTTCAGCTCCGCCCGCCACACGACCAGGACGATATAATTGGAGACTACATGGATGACGACATGGAGTCCCAGCGAGATGGATCCGTCATCTCACGGACTGCTGTCTACGTATAGAGGAGGAGAAGGAGGAGAGGAAAGGAAAGGAGGAGAAGAAGAAGAAACAAGGAAGGATGGAGGAATTCCTCCTGAGGATTTTTAGGCTCCAGGGTCTCGGCCCTGTTCGGGTGGAGAAGAGAAAATGATACCACTTTTTATTTTTGGAGAATTGATCTTAAACATATTATTAATCACAGTGCTACCCCAGAATGAGCAAAGACAGAACACAAACCACTGCTTCTGCTCATGCTATCGCTATCACTGGGACCTTGACATACTCCTGACAGACAGACAGACTAACAGAGAAAAACTATGTAGTGTGGGAGTAGGATAATGGCATCATGATACAAGCTCGGCTAAAGCGGAAGAAACTCTCTTGCATATTCACTCTTATCTTCACCAACAGTGTAGAAGTGGTTGTCAAGCAGTTAGTTAAACATACATGCCTGCTTCTCTCCCGTGGTGAACCTTGTATGTAATGCATTGTGCTGTGACAGCTGGTGGACACTTTGGTTGGGCTGGGAGGAAAACATTTAGAGGTATACTTACAGTATTCATCAGGTGATTTAGCTAAGAAAAGAAAAGTATTTGCTGCTGGCTAGCTCTCATTTCCGCTCTCTCTGCCTTCCTCTCAAACTGCTCTGCAAGCTATCGACAACTTGCTTGATTTTTCAAAACCCTAATCAAACCCTTTCCTTGTGTGCTGCACACATACAGCAGCTTCTGACTCCAACTATGAACGTTTGCAGAGAGTTTGAGTTCTTAGCAAGGTGTACACATTCAAACTTTTGTACTGTGCCTGGAGGAACGAGACGGTAAACAAGAGATGAGGGGAATGAGGTGTAGCCGATCTGACAGGGTTAGGGGATGGAGAGAGGGATTCAGGAGGAGGGCGAGGAGTCTCTTCCTCCTCATCCTCGTCTCCTCAGAGCGCTCCTGACAGGAGGAGCTTGATTGGTAATGAGCCGTGAAGTCACTCGCTTAGCCGGCAACAACAGATTGCCACCACTTATCGTTTATGACGTGACGATTCCTCCCCCGCCCCCCCCCCCCCCCCACCTCTATCTCTCTTATCATTCCTCCGTCTCTCTCTTTTCATCCCTCTCTCCCAGTGTTTATGGGGAGTTTATGATTTATCCAGTAACGTGGAGGTCAGGGCCACAGAGAGCAGCCGAGTATTTTACTGCTCCTGATGTGTCAAATGCCCCACTTACTCTATTCTTACTCTATATCCTGCCCTGACCCCCCAGGACTGACTCTCTGATCCACCTGGAGGGCCATGTTCGCTCCAATGCCTCCAGCAGTATTTTGTCCATGGCCTGAATACCCCCCAAAAATACAACCACTTGAGGTTTGATAGATTTTCAATGAGATCAGGTAACATTTCTATCCATTAAGGGGTGTTGTTAAATGTAGAGAATTGATCGGGAGACATAAAAGGTTTCATCAACTGCGAACCTTCGGGAGTCATATTGACTAACGGGCATCAAGCAGTGAAATGGCCCTTTACGATATGGCTTCAGGGCTGATTGTCTCCTGACTGTTAATTTATCCTCATAACGAGCCACCGGAGGCTCGCCCGGGCAAATATTACTCCGTGGGAACCGCACGCTGCTGTCTTGGAGGCGGAGCGTTTACATCCGGCATGTGTCACTGTGTCTATGGAGCCACTAGATGACTGTGATGGACAATCTTTGAGAGAAGCCCTACTAATCGGGCTTTCCCTGACCTTTCCAATCAAATCCCTCGTGACCCACTGGGAATCTGGTGAGGGCAGCTCTCGATGAGTGTACTGCCCTCTTATAAGGCCTGCCAAAGATCAGCTTGAGGTCAAATGCAGAGCGACCCGCTGCCTAGAGCCAGGATGACTTTGCCTGCCTGCATTTCCTCTCACAGCAGTTGATAACCTTGAGCTATAGAGGTGGGAAACACTTGCATACACTACATGTATCCTTATAGGGTCAGACAGTCCTAGTTTTCCTTTGTGAAAGCTGTTCAAAGAGGCGGAGAGAGGCAGAGAGAGGCGGAGAAGTGGCTTTTAGTGTTCGAACGCGGTCTAGCATATTGTAAGCCAGTGTTCAATAAGATTATCGTCTGATGGCCTTAGCTTATATATAAACGCAGCTCCAGTCAACCCGCTGCAGTTCATTTACTGAACCCAGCTGGTTTGTGACAACCACAAAAAAAAAAAAAATGTATTACTTATTTTTGCACTTGTTTGTGTCACCGCTACAAAGAGAAATATAAGTGTAATACTTGGTTTTGGGGTCAAAATAGCGATAAGGGACAAGACTGTTGTATGTACATTTTGGTGTGAGGTATCTGTGAACTATATATGTAAGCATCTTTATTTTTCTTGTGAAAATGTGGATATTTATAACGATGTAAATATCAGATCGATGGAGCCAGTGTTGTGGAATAAAGAAGGCGGTCTGGGTCAGCTAAACCTAAAGTTCAAATGTCTCAGAGGGCAGTCAGAATGTAATTTTTAATCTAATGAATATCTCGGCGGTTTGGGTGTTAAAAAAACACTGAACCGACTGAGCTGAGTTTGCCTAACAGTCGATTTGTATCGGTGGGAAAAATTATATAATTGTATCATTTCTTTTGTGAAAGTTAACATTGCCTGCAATTCCACAAAATAAGCACACCGTGTTTTTTTGCACAATTGGCTTCTCCTTGACAGACACCCTGCACAATGCAAAAATACCCACAATACTTATAATTTATCAGGTAGACCGTAACCACACAAGCAGGCGGTGGTGTGTGTTGACTCAGCTCTGTGTGTGTATTCAGTAGTGTGTATTTTCGTGATGCTCGGAGGCTTTGGGACATCTCTCACTGCCATTGGGGCTGTAACCTGAGTAGCCTCTATTTATGTCACCATGGAAAACTGGCAAAATGAAGATATTATTGTGCGTTTCCAAAACACGCTTACTCGCACACACACACATACTGTACATATACAGAATGCAGAGAAACATTCTCCCACACACAAACACCCCTCAGTCACTCTCATTATGCTCACTCCCACAGCCAGACTGTGCCGAAGACACCTCATACCTGACAACTTCGCCATCTCCTGACATCAGCCCACACAAATGCGCTCGCATAGCCGCACACACACACACACACACACACACACACACACACACACACACACACACACACACACACACTTACTTCTCCGCTTCTTGCTCAGTGGCTCCGTCAGGACATATACTGTGTCCTGTTACAGTGAAAAGAGCCGCAGCGTGATGTGTCCCCCGCTCCACCGCTTTCTATTCTTCAAGACCTCACTCTGAAACGACCACATTGAACACACACATTCAGGGACACACACACCTTTCACCCGGTGCTGGAGAAACGGGCTTTTGGACCATTTGTCCATTCCACTTCGAGGAATATAGCTTTCATAAAAATGCCACTGTGCTGACCCGCTCCACCTCCCGTCTCACTTTGAATGCTTTTAGAGCCGAGACATCCTACTCGCCTCCAAAATGTTGTTTTTTTCAACTTTTCTCACTTCAGCAACCTCCGCGACCGCCTCCATAAACACACACACACACCGTTGCCACCCACCTCAGCATCAACGTTAAAGGCTTGTCAGACAAAATGCTTTTAATGAAATCCACGATCCCGGCCCGGGTCTAGCACAAGGTTAGGTAGTCAAAACACCCAATATTTATCTTTATTTACCCAGAAAACCGCATACTGTTGCTATCTCTTCGGTTCCAAACATTTGATGACTAATCAAAGCCTTAACATCTCCCATCTCACTTGCAAAAAAGAAGGAATTAAAGAGAAAACTTCCCTGTGTACATAGTATAAATATATAAATATGTAGCAGAGAAAAAGATATTACTAATTTATGGTGTCACGTTTGTGTATTTCTCAGTGACAGCAAGCATGAAGGATTTATTTTCTCCTATTACAGTTTCCTCTCTTTTCTGTTATTTTGCAGTGCTTTATAATTTATGTGCTTTATTCTTGACTGCTGCGCGGTGATTGCTGCCAAAACTGGCAAATGTGCTTCTATACAAATGAACTGGACACACAACAAACCAGTCGTACCCCCAAATGTGCTTTTTATTATTGACTGCTGTGTAATCGTTGTTTTTTCTTTTTCTTTTTTTGTATTCCTTTTTTTTATTTCCAATTTTGTGAAAAAAATAACTAAGAAATTAGAATTGTTGTCACCATTTTGTCATGTCTTTCTATATTTTTTCGTATTTTGTTGCTATTAAAGAATTATTGATTTTTGAAATGTTTCTGCCGGTTGTATCTGCCTCTCCTTTCCTTCCCGTCTGTCTATTTAACACCTGAGGTTAGTTTGGGTGACTGAGGAGCCAGATGGATTAGAAGTGCCAGTAATTGATTCTCACTGATTAGATTCATAGATGAATTGATCGGGATGTGAAGTGGCCCCTGTCTCTTGTCAGCCATCTTTCACACTTCAGACACCCCCACCCTCTGTGTGTTTGTTTTTTTCACTCATTTCCTGGTCTGGCTGTTTCTCTCATTCCAGTTTTGATAAATCGGGGCTTGTGTCAACAGAGGTGCGATAACAGGCTCATGGGAAATAGCAGAAGCCATTTTGTGTTCAACTATTGTCCTGTACTGGAGCTCCACCTCCTCCCAGTCTCTGTGATTCATACATGTTTCTCTGGTTGGCTGAAGTTAAGTGGCCACTAAAGCGTACATTCACTTTCTTAAAGACCTATATAGTATATAATCATTACATTCAGCCGTAGCTAATTGTACTCTCACACAGAGAGAAAAAGGTTGAGGAATGTGGTGCTGTAGCTGCAGTGGTTATCCTGCAGGGAGGCAGTTTGTGTTTTCAGTTGGGGAATGTGCAGGCCAAGCTGAAACTCTGTGAATGGAGCGCCTCTCAAAGGCTGCATTGTTTGAACTCTGACTAAACCAAACTGGTTTGGTCAAATTTTAACAGAAGGGCATGTAGAGGGGTCTGTCTGTCTGTCTGTGTGTGTGTGTGTGTGTGTATGTACATGTTTATGTATGAATGTCCTGGCATGGGAGAGAATGTGTGTTCTCATGCGTGAATGTATGTGCACCTGCCTTATTTGGTTTTTCATACAAGTACCCCCTTTGTGCCGCCGCTAAAATGATACAATCAACTTGTGCTGTTAACGTCCCGCGTCTGTGACAGTTGGTTTATGTCGATTATGGCAGCGCGCCCTCGCTGTCTGCCCGGTGCTTTGATGCCGTCATGTATCTCCGTGTCATCCTGGCTCCTTGTCACACTTCATTTTTGTTGCTGGCTTCTTTTGTCAATGCACAGCTATTTACTGTGAGTCCAGCCCACCATCTGGCCTCTCTAATTGCTTGGATTTCAGGCTGGCGAGATAGAGAGCACTTACACGCACTCCACACACATGCACATACACACACACAGACACACTCTAGGTTTTTCTAGCTGAATGTGAAAGACTCGAGCACAGCAGAAAGGCTTTTAAGCTGCAGCTCGTAGTGAAAGGCTGTGCAACACTTACATTTTGGTCTCGGTTTGTCACCGAAAAAAAGTGTTTGCCTCATGTGGGAGCGGTGACCCCGTAACGCAGAACCTGTCCTATTTGAGCTCCTAGCAAATAACCTGGATCTGAAGCCAAAGCGACAGCAGCTACGCCGAGCTCCACCACCGTGTTCAACATTAGCTTTCAGTGATGAGACATGGTGCCGTGCCCGGGGCAATACAGGCTAGCTGGTAGTGGCCCTGTTTATACCTAGTTGCGTGTGTGAGTGTTTGAGTGTGTGTGTGATGTGTTCTCTGCTCATACAGCGTGATAAACAAGTATGTTCATGTTGTGTGTTTCAGTTTCTGTTGTGCAGCTCAGATTCCAACAGCATGTTTGTGTGGGAAAGTGTTTATGAGCGAAGTGTTATCAGGTTGTTGTGTATGTAGTGAAAAGGGTGTGATAATGTGTGTGTACTGTTTCACACATGCATGTTTGTACGTGGCTATATATTTAACTTCCAGTTCTGGCAGCTACAGCCGCAGTGTTGATTAAACATCTGATGGTGTGTGAGTGTGTGAGTGTGTGTGGATTAGCACACACACACTTTAGGCTCTCTCTGCTGATAACTGCTCACACAATGCTCCTCATTTAACCTCTCACCCTCCGGCTCCAGACCTAACTAATAAATCCCAGAGAGGCTGATGAATTGCCTGGACTGTTGCATGCATTTCTGAGTGATGGATGTGGTGACCTGGCCCTTCACAGGGATTAAAGTGAGTGTCTGCCTCTGACTTCAATTATTAAAGTAGGCTCCTGCATATATTTTTTGGCTTTAAAGTTACTAGCTCATCTTGGTTTTGCCTGTGGTGAATCATCAAATCTCCAGTTGTGTGTGTCTTGTTACTGGAGTATTTCTATCAAACAGGCTCTTCTTTTAACTGACACTGGTATGTTCCTCATTATTTTTTATTCCGGCACATTGGATCTGACTCTCAGCGCAGTTGTGTGCACACTCCTTCAGTTTAAAGACAATGACCCTAAGCATGCAGGGGAGGTAATTAAGCAGAGTTATGGGCGAACTGTGGAATGTTCTTCTCTGGCCAAGTCAGTCATCTGACCTCAGCCCGGCATGCGTTTCATTTTCTGAAGATGAGACTGAGGAAGGCTCTGGAAGAGGCCTGGCAGCTCATCAAAAGGAGAGATAGCAAGTGTCTGGTAAGGTCTGTGAGTTTAGAGGACTTTCCAAAGTTTGAGTTAACTTCTCCAATTGATTTATTTTGGTACTGTATAACAAGGCCAATGCTGTGTTCGGAAACCACATAAAATGTATCATTATGCAACGTAGTACATTTCAGCTGCACAATATGTGGGTTTTGTACTGTATATGAAAAGCCTGGATTTGAACTATATTTGCATTAACTTCCCCATACTCTTCTGCCTAAATGAACTGCAGGTCTTAAGACTTTCAAATGGCAGACTGCCAGGCAAAATGTTAAAATTATTTACCCATTCTGTATTTAAAGTTGTGTAGAAAATGTAACCCTAAATCATTTCAATAATCACTACTGGAAATATTAAATTGAGCAATTGGTTTACAATTGTCGTGAACAATTTTTATAGAACGTAGCTCTGACCGGTAACGCTATGGTTGATACAGTCATGTGAAGACGTATAGCTTGTGTTAACTTGAGTGTAAATAGTCTCTGGTCTTGGCATACTTATTGTTAATTTAATAAACTGTATGCTATATACTGAATTGAGTATGCAGTATGTAAGTTAGAGATTTCAAACAAAGCACTAGTGTCCAAAGCCATGCAAACCATGTTCCTCTGTGAGAAACGAAATGCTAATGTCAACATGCTGGGACAATGCTAACGTTTACTATTGGCTTAGTTTGTTTAAACTCTATATATAGTCTAATGGGAATGGCATTAGTTTGGTTTACGACCAAATTCCAAACTAATCCTGTCCTGATAAGGCTGCACAATAAAAGGTTTATGGGTCACTCAAATGAGGTTAAGGCCCATACCACAAACTCACAATATTCACTGTTCATGCATTCATACATGTCATACCCTCCTCTCTCTCCATACTTTCTCTGGAGAATATTGATACAACACACACAGAAATCCCTCTATACAATATAAGGTTTCACTTCTCACTCAAAACCAAATGTGGACCTCATGGCAGCGCTATAAGAAAACTCTAGGCGTCATCAAAGTCCAGTTGTGACTCATTCTCTGGGGAACATTTCTGCACAGGATTCATAGCACTCCATCCAGTATTAGTTGAAATACTTCAGTCTTGTTCAAAGAAGGGGACCGACCAGCATGGCTAAAAATCCTTACAGTACCAGCATCGTATTTGACGTTGATGTAAACACCCTCAAATAAAGACGTCAGTACCTGATAGTCATTGTACAAAAGTCTCAGCATGAACATTGTGACAATGTGCTAATAATGTACAATCTAAAGTCCTAATACTTTCTGACTGCTGTGTTCCACACATACACATACACTTTCGTTTCCACCGTTGATATTGCTCACTTTCACGTCCTCCTGTATTGAAAATAAATTTAAATCGATATTTTATTTTAAGAAAATGTGTGTGGAGTTCTTCATTTCGCACCGTCTAAGCCAGTTTGTGACAAATTGGAGCCAATTTGGTTTCTGACTGTGGTTGTTTGTGAAAGTTGGATTAGGTAATTTTCCGTGGCACAGGTTATATATAGTGCTGGGATTTGTGTGTTTTGTGTGGGAATCATATGACGCCTGCTCTAATCTGCTGTCTTCTTAGTTTGATGACTTAAGTAGTTTTGGGTGGATGCCGGCAGGCAGAAACATCACGTAACTACCACTCATCCACTTTTTGCTCTGGAAACAGGCATTACAACGTTAATGGAAATAATAGTTCTTCCACACCTTAATATGTACTAAAATGTTGTATCAAATATTGTGCGAGATGGTTTGATTGACAACATCAATTTCAACGAAAATGTCTGAAGGATGCTCCTGTCAAGTATATTTTTGAACAAAAGAGACGTGCTTTTCAAGAATTACCACAGTGGTAAATGCATTTCTTCGATCGTATAGAGTTGTGTTACCGTGTTGAGCAAGGTGAAAGCAAAGTGCAGAGGAAGTTACATTTGTAAATAATCACAGGAAATTGGAAAACGTATCATTCCTCTCCCTCAAGCGGTAAATGCTTACATCGATCATCTCTGAATTCTGGTCATGCAGGTTTTTTTCAGATATGTGTGTCTGCCTATACCCTTACACACACATACACACACTTTTATAATACACAAGCGAGGCAGACAGACAGGGGAAGTGGATTCTCCTGTTTCCCCTGGAGGCCCCTGGGCGTTTACTCTTCCTGTCCCGCGCTGATCAGGCTGGAGGTATCTGGGTGGTTGCAATGCATTGTTGGCCGGATGAGGCACGTCTCCCTTGGGGTGGCACATGCTCAGCCGACTGCTGGGAGGGCAGAGAAGGGCAGGGAGCGAGGGGGAGAGGGGGAGAGGGGGAGAGGCAGTATGGACGGAGGGCAAAGAGGGAGAGATGGTGGGAGGAGAGAGAGAAGGGGATGGTGCGTGAGATCTGAGGCCTTGTGTGTTGGCAAAAGCAACAGAGAGATAGCCGGCATATGAATGTAACAGTGACTAATGCATGATTGAATAAAAGGGGCGAAGAGAAGACAGAAGAAGAAGAGAAGGAGTCTTGGAGGAATCAGAGGGTGAAAGGGCAGAAATCAGAGGGAGAAAGGGAGGAGACGCCTGATTAAAGATGGAGT